GAAGAAGAAAGCGGAAGGGTTTCCAAGCTCACTCTTCCAAAATTAAAAATGCTGAAGTTGGAGCAGCTGCCTAAATTGAGGTGCATTTATAGCTCAAGTGCAGTACTAGTATGTGATTCCATCGAAGAGGCTACAATCAGCTATTGCTCAGATCTGAAGCGTGTTTTTGGCTCATGGTTCAACCCACTTCAGACCCTTGAGAGATTGAATCTTCGGAAATTAGAAAGCCTGCAATCCGTGTTTGATGAAGAAGCTCTTGCTTTGTTGTCACCTGCACCTGCCACCACCTTTTTCCCTCTTGTAAGCATTACTATTGCCACATGTCATCAATTGAAGAAGTTGTTCTCACCTAGGTCGCGGCTTAGCTGTCTCCAGAATCTAGAAACTATTGACATTATGGATTGTGCGCAAATGGAGGAGATAATATCACTGGGATCTCAAGAAGAAGAAAAGGCCCTTCAACTCTCTCTACCCAAGCTACGGATACTGAAATTGAAAGATTTGCCCGCATTGAAGAGCATCTGTAGCAACATCAGTGTGTTGAGATGTGATTCCCTCATGTATTTGCTAATTATAAGATGCACTGAGCTAAAGAGGATTCCTTTGTATCTTCCCCAACTTGACAACGGCCAATCACTTCCGCCTCCTTCTCTCAAAGGAATCAATGTATTTCCAAAAGAATGGTGGGAATCGTTAGAGTGGGACCATCCCAAGGAAAGGGATGCCCTTTTACCCTTCTGCAAATTCCTGGCGGAGGAACCCTGGTGGGTGCGGCCGCCGGGGCGACATTTGGGCCCACTTGCCCAAAACGAAAGCCCAACGTCATAAAGCCCAAATTTGAATCCAAATTTCCCCTTCCACTGAATTCCTCGATTTTGTGTTCGGCGTAAGTTCCTCTTTTCCTTCTGCTATTTTCTGCAAAAATTTGGAATACAAGAGATCCAGTTTGTGTATCTCACTGTGTTGTTTTCTTCTCATGTCTTAGTTTCTCTTTTCCCTTTCATGGAGTCACAATCGTCTTCCCTTTATCAGGAAAATTTAAGCAGTACCTTCCCGTTAAAGACAGCAACAAAGTCACAAACAAAAATTGAAAATGAGAGCAACAACGAAATAAACAGGTAAATACTGTTATGTTCACTCTTTTCTCCTTTCTCTTTTATGTTAATGTTCAGCGGGGATAGTGAGTTATGTTTGTTTGAATCTTGTTTTGATATGAGATCATATGTTGTGTTCCAATTTTTGTATAGGTGAAGACCTTTTATTCATTACATGATAACCTTCCATAACCAAATTAAGCCATCCATTCGTCTTTGGGAATAAGTCTTTCCATCTTACTTCTGTGCAGGTACCAATAATTCCACATTGGCAAAGTCCTGAACAGCCTTATTGTAGGTAGCACTAACATTTTTCCCTTTCTATTGAATTAATTAGTATTTTGTTCTGTGTTTTGCCGTAACCAAATTAAGTTGCTTTTCAGACCATGTCTTGCAATTTATAACTCCAGCTAAGCTATACTTCCATAAGAAGTTTAATTTTAAACTTCCGTTTCATTAGGAAATTTGCTATATCATATTTTCTGCCTGCCCCTGTTGAATTTTTGTGGTCTTTTAGGGAAGCTTGCATTGCATGAGGTTTATAGTACTTATAAATATGAGTTGCAGACTTGTAGATCCAATGAAATACATATACTTTGAGAATTTGTTTCTGTGAACTCATTTATGCTGAATTTTCTTTGCATTTATTTACTAAGAAAATGGCACATGATAACATCTCAACTCTTTGTTGGTCCTATGAAGTTAGTATTATAAGTTTTTTTGAAAAATGATAAAAGAATATAGTTCTCCCATTTACTTTAATGGTTAATCCATACGAGGTGTTGGCCCCTTTGCTTGATATTATGGAGTATATCCCCTTTGCTTAAAAGATTAATGCATATTTGTGTTTTTACATGTTTTTCTCTCCTTTATAAATACTTGGACAATCATTGACTGTGAATAGAGGATAAGTCTACAAGGAGGACTGGCGAAGAGTTCATAAGAGAAATGCTTGCTGGAACCCAATTGTCATTCATCTTCTTGAAGTAAGCTTAATTATGGCTAAACATTAGTTTTTCTTTTACTGTTGACTTGACATTTTAGAAACTGCAGACCAAAACTTAATGTCAAGAATCGAAATTTTCTTCTTGTCTTCTGCCTTGTGAATGAATAAGAGACTAAACTTTTTCTTTAATCTTAACTTACCACAGATTAAATTGCAAGAATTCTCCCCAGTATGCAAGCTAGAGCTTAACTCTATGGTAATCAAAACAGCTCCATTACCAAAGAACAAATTGAGAAAAATTTGAATGGACTAACCATTGATGAGGTAAAGTTTCTTATGTTCTTTAATTGTGAAATCACTATTACAATTTGTTGATATATCCCTTGGCCTATGAATCATTTTAATTTAATTTTTGATAACTGAACAGGCAATCAAAAACAAGTTAATCATGTTAGATCATCAAGGTGCACTGATGCCACACATGAGGAGGATGAACTCTACTTCAAGAACGACTTTGCATCTAGGGCTC